CTGAGTCAACCCTGAGCCGGTGAGATTTGAACCGCTGAACTGCTGATCTAGCAGTCAGCCTGCAGTGCTGCATTTAACCACCGCGCCACCTTGGATAACTTTGATCATCCAAATAGCAAAGACCTAGAAACAAGTTCTCTAGTCTAGTCTATGGATAGAACAAGTTAGAAAGGAAAGGTGGGACATCTAATATAATGTAAAATTACATTCCTTGGCTCTTCCCTAAAAAGAAAGTAATAATATTTTAATACAACCATGAATTATAGCATTTGTTTATGAATAATATATTTATCAACTCTATTAAGTAGACAAGCACCCCAGGGGAATATCTGATTTTTCTCTTAATACTCACCAATCTCATTACCCAATCCTGACCCCAACATGGAGCCAGCTGAGCTCACAACTGCACATGTCTTCAGGTGACCAAACTCTTCTGCCAAACTCCTCTGAGGCAGCATAGCCCTCCACACTGGTTCTGCAAAGGGTCCTTCATCACCCAACACAGTAGACACAGTCACACGGCTTTTGAGCTGGCACATGAGGTCCATCCCAGTTAGGTGTGGATTGCCTAGGCGCTGCCCAGCACCTGAGGGCACCTTATACTTGTTCATTGATCGATAGTTCTGGAAGATCTGACGAAGACCAGGGCTCAGTACTTGAGATGAAAGCTTTTTGTTCCATGCAAGCCATGGTAAGGGATGTTCTCGGATTGGGGAATGAGTTTCTCTGAATTGTTGAAATCCAGTAAGCATCTTTTCAAGACGTTGCCAGAACTTCTTGATTCTGGAGAAGAAGGAATCTTCTGTCAGAGTCTGTGTTGTAATTTCTAAGTTCCGGTTGACAGATCTAGCAGCTGAGGGGAGCTTCAGAGTTTTGTTTCTCTCTGATGAACTTTGGATGTCCTGGAAGATTGTTCTTATAAACTTGGTGGGCACTCCTGGGTCACGGGAGCCCAAATGTAGCATTAGCCCTGCCTGTAGACAAACTAAGCTCAGCATTGTCAAACATAGCACAGCAAAACTCAGCCAAACGCAGTTTGTCCCCCACCTCCAAGGTGGTCGTACACACCATAACGTATCCCCAGACCTGTGAAGAGATGGGCAACACAAGATCAGCCAATTTTGATTAGCATCGGCTTGGTTCTACTACCACAACACATAGCACTGGCCGTTTCCATAATGTGGTTTCAATTACAAAATAGACTATGATTTAAAATGACCTGCTAAAGCAGATGATAAGGTTCATCTCATCTGACATCAACTATTCCAGTGGCCAATCAATAGCAGTTAGCAATAGCAGTTAGACTTATATACAGCTTCATAGGGCTTTCAGCCCTCTCTAAGCAGTTTTACAGAATCAGCATATTGCCCCCACAGTCTGGGTCCTCATTTCACCCACCTTGGAAGGATGGAAGGCTGAGTCAACCTTGAGCCGGTGAGATT